GGGGGGGGGGGGGGGGGTTTCCAGCACAGACCGACGAAACCTGCAGGAATTGAACGGCTCGTTTTCTGTGGAAAGAAATTGAAAGCCCAAAAGACACGATGAAAGGCTTATTTTATTTAAAGGTTTTAACATGTAAATTCATAAGACTGAACCACTTCTGTCACACCCAGTGAAGACTTTTCATTAGTGCAGAAATTCCCATCCAACAAACTATAGGTGAACAAGGAAAATGTGAAATGAGAATACATCAAAGGTGGCTTTAATATAAAGGAGAAGCTCTTCTGAGTGTAGATGGAAATGTTTCAACTTTAGAAAGACTGTTATTGTTTTTTTTTCCCTACCATTCATCTGTTGCAGACATTTCAGACAACCTTGGCTTTAGCTTTTCAATCACCTGGGGCCTGACCAAAACAGATCAATGAAGGAAGGCCGCTGGAGATTCTGCTGCTGCCGTTGTGGCCGGCATGCTCTAATTGGACGGGCCATGAGTGTTTTACTGAACAGAGGCCTTGTTTTCCACATGCACAATCAATGGCTAGTTCTCCGCAGAGCTGCCCAGACACACTAATCAGCTTATATCCTTGAAACTTGTGGATGATTATGTAGTTCTAGTGCCAAGCGGTTTTAATTAGACATACTATATTATTTTGGCTCATTAAATGCTACACCATGAAAATATATTCACTCCAGGACTGTTATATGGATTACCAAAGTTAAGATCACAAAAGGTGGACAAAATACTTTTTCTTATACAAAAATGGATGATTGTGTCAAAATTAACATTTGCAGCCTTGTTAGGGGTTGGGAAAAATGGACTCGAGTTCTGGACAAACTAATATTTCCTACAATAACACTTCTATCTCTGGTAACTGCACCGACTGTATGGGATTATAGCGAAACGTCAATATCTTTTACCTAGATGTGCTTCTTATAATGTGTGGTTACTGCATGTTTATAACTATTTCCTATATATTCTGGGCTTAAATGTTTTCTTAATTATGTTTATTCATTATCAAACATATAAGGCATGTTACATCTAAAGGAGCTTTTGTTTTGATAGGAATGGGCTCTTGCCCTGTATGAGCAGAAGGGCTTGCGGCCTGCTTGCTAAAACCTCCCTGCAATGATGAAGATCCGATTCGAACTCGACCTTGTAGCGCACAGACAGAATTTCATTAAGGGAACGGATTTCCACCAGGAGGGAATCTTACACACAGAATTTCTTTATCCAACTTTGTTTCAGAGACCTGATCCTCGAGACACACAGCTTTCCATGTGTAACGAACACCAGCAGCACCGGTGCAGATGTTCAAGAAGCATTAACATAAAAGGACAATCTCTATCTTGTTTTAAAGTTGATCAGCATCCTTAAAAGTTTTTAATTAGTACTCCATGATTTTGTTTCCCTAGGATAAATATTTAATGTACAAGTGTGTGTGTGTGTTTTATTTTTATGTATGGTGTGAAAAAAGAACACGTGGAAATGGAGGATCTATGATGTCGTTTTCCTTTCAATGGGCTTAAGAACTGGGGCGAACCAGGACATTTTAGTTTGTGGCCTCTGCAAGATAACTAAAAATGAGTAATTTTGTTGAAAAGTTGCATTTGTCTCATTTTTCTCAATTATTTCACAGGATTCATGATTCCCTGCAACAACAAGGTTTCCATGAACTTTGGTCGAGTCAAGCATTCAGGTCAGACTAGTGGACATTTATTTTATGGGCATTTCTGCATCAGGGACTTTAAGAAAGATACATTTATTCTAAATCTTTTGACACCGACGCTGAACGTTTGTTTATATGGGATTTTCTAATGTCAACGTTCCGGTTTTAAGTGGCTCGACTCGACTGACCACCATACCAGCAACACATTAGGGCATAAAAACATATTACATAGCAGAGATTTCAAATAAAAGATATTTTTAGTCACATCATTACCAACCAGGTTAAATATGCAAACTAACACCAAACAGAATCATTTATCTGTAGCAAAATAACAGTCTGTAGAATAAATGCTGTTATTGTGGCTGTATCCTGATTAAGATAAACATTTTTAATCATAATAACTTATAATAACTTTGACAACACATACATTATGACCCTGTTGCATAATCTCTGGTTCCAACGTGCTGACATGCACTCACATTAACACATAAACACCCTTAATTAAATCATAATTATTTGATAAAATCCCAGCTGATGTGATCAAAATTAGCTCTTTGTTTTAAAAGATGTTTTGCAAACACCCAATCTAATCTTATTCTATGATGACCAGGCTTGTCAGTGCAATCAGATTAAGTAGTGCAGAGAGGTTAATGAAAAACAAATTTATCTTTAACTTTATAAAGTGCTTTTTGCCTCTAGACCCTAAAGACTAATAAGCATAATTTAGCTCCAAGTTCTGCAGCACAGAGAATGCAAAAAGTTAGAAATGCAAAAAGTTCAAAGATCTTTGCATCCAACCCACCCCCAGTTTTCAACAGTCTTCAGCTTTTCTCGTTCACCAAGTGGGAACCGTTGATGCCGCAGTAGGTGACGCGGCTGGGCCGGACCAGCACGCCGTAGCCGGGCCGACATGTGAAGTAGCGGTGACCGCCCACAGACCCGTCGTTCTTCCCCTTTGGGCTTCGAAGCTCCAGCCCCAACCAGAGCCCCGGGGCAAAGTCTGTGGTTCCCAAGAAGCGGATGAACGCCATCTCGTTGGCGCTGGTCAGGAAGACCTGCATACCCACATGGAGACGCACCTGGCCGTCAGAGCAGGACAACAGACTGGATCCTGCCATGCTTCCGGGAAGTCCTCCACTGCTGCCACTCAGGGTGCTCCAGCGACGGCGGTGAGGGGTAGAGCGACTTCTTTATGTTTTGTTTGTGAAAATAGAGTGGGAAAAAAACAGCGAGGAAGATTTATGAGAAAATATGTGTGGAGAAAAAGACATATCAGGTGATTTATGAGCTCAGGGCTTGATCTTCGGGTCATTCTCTTTAGAATGCCATAGCTATTTCAAAACTCCTGATTCTGACACTGCTGCAGGAGGATTAGGATGAAGCTGAAGAAAGATGTGAAAACTGTTTTGAAAAGATTCTCACCTGGAAACCGGGCTCCTCCTGTTCCCCTCCTTTGGTGTGGCGATGGCTGATGATGTGCTGAAGCTGCGACGAATTGTCCCTGCATGCCAGTCAAAAGAGTCAGGGATATTCCACAGAGAACTGCTAAGAACTGGCCTCACAGAGAGAAATGTACAAATATCTCCAGTCTAAAGTTTCAATCCACTCAAAATTAAGCGTTGCAATTTCAGAGAAAGAGAGAAGGTTGTTGAGCATTTCTAGTTCTATTGCTTTGCTCATCTGCGTTTTTTTGACGGATGGCTGGTAAGATGTCAAACAGCTTCTTAAATGGACCTTAGAGACATCCCATATCATAGGAGAAACATCATCATCATCGTTTGTTTCAAAAAGCTTTATATGCGTTTACAAATATTCAGAGAACTTGGTTGCTGTGAGATGCTGAAGGTTAAATCTCCAACATCTCAGGTTGGGTGTATTCTCAGAAAGCTTGAGGACTGTGGTCAGAGATGACAATGCTGTGGTACTTCGTATTGTCAGAAAATAATAATTTCCCATAAACTAAGAAACATATCCTAGTGTAAACATTGCATACTTTGTGATAAAAGGAGATCTTCCAACAATAAGAGTTAGAAATCAGCCAAATATAAAACAGGTTCATATTTTCAGTGAATAATTTTACAAGGTTGCATGTTTTGGAAGATTTCACTAGCAAAGTTGAAGATCTGTCTAAATAAGTGTCCAGAGCAAAGCTGAAATCACCACCAATTAGACCATTATTAGAAATGTGTGGTTTAAGACCTTTCTAAAAAATTCAGGGTCATTGTCATTTGGTCAGAATACATTCATTTGGGTTACTGCGTTATAATAACATACCACCCCATCCCTGTCCACTGTAGGTATACAATTTGGCTTGCATGAATTTCAACAGTAAATAAATTCAAACTTCTGTCCCCAGTTTGTGTTTTGAAAACTCCTGCAGTTTTTATAATTTAAGAAGACGACTGTTTAATGAGCTCTTAAAATCCTCAAATTAATGACATTCCATGATGAGTGCATGAAAACCTCTGACTGCAGCTGTACTTTTCAAATAATTGAGTCTAATCCTTACCACTGACTGGATGACTGAGACGTGATGTGGTGAGCTCTGAAAGGCAGTCGACGGAACCGTGGATCCTGGTAGGAAAGGAATTAAGTATTAGTCTCCTCCCTGAGGTCTTAAAGCAACCGTCGTGCAAGAATTAATTTTTTAGATCTCAAAACAAAGGCGACTTAAACAGTTGCCAGTAGCAACCTTGCAACAACCATATTAATGTTTTCTTAACCTCCTCTAAACCTGACAAATAGAAGGTCTGAGCACAGATACGAAACAATAAGCTTCAGAAATGAGAACAGTAAGAGTACAGAAACAATGTCAAAGAGCGTTAGTGAAAGGCTGGAGCGTCTGCTTTCCTAATAGGTCACAATAGATGCTGACAGCAGAAGAAACAAGGAGGAGAAGCGAGCTTCTGGAGAAGAATGCGAAATCCTTCATTAGACAGCTGGAAAGCATGCACGCTCTCTACTCTGAGGTTAATTAGGAAATAACAGAGGAAAAAGAAACAAGAGCTGACTCCCCAAAACACAGCTTCTATATAAGGGAAGTGCTAAAAAAATAAAAATAAAAACAAGACCCTGAGAGGAAAATATGAACAGAGACAAATCATCCAAAGAAATTGAAGTGCAACAGTCCATCAGCTCTGATAAACTCACACATTGCTATAGATGACAACTGCCTTTTAATGGCTTTTATTCAGTTATGACTATTTTACACTTGAGGGGTTGTGCTGCTAATGTGCCGTTCAGTAACTCAGTGACTCCATGAATAACACCGTCAGAGAATTTCCCCAGGAACAAACTGATTCAATAAACAGCCACCTTGGAAATCCTTACAATTAAGGAAACACATCTGCATCGGCACTCAAATAACCTTAAAAAAAAAAAAAAAAAAAACTGAGGTTCTTAAAAATGTAAAATAAAAACATTTTTGAAACTGGTCTGATGAGAAGAAAAAACCTTGAACAGCTGCTGCCCAGCTGCATGTTCAGCCAAAATACTTGGAACTTATTAATCATGTAATATACGTTCAGTGTAAAATACAGATGCTGCAAACTAATTATGGGTTTTCTAATTTTGCTGTTACATACGCACCTTAATTCTTGATTAAAAAAAAACTTATTGCAATCATAAAAACCAGGAGCTTTAATTTGTTTACAACAGTAAAAAGGAAACCTTTGGGTCATGGGAAAATGTAATAAGGGCAGAGCCAAAACATGCCAAAATAACAGAACCAATATCGGAACAATATGTAGTTATACACATTTTTCCCCAAGCAGATTTTCTGATTGCTGTCTATAAAAACATGACATGTGTTACAGGTATTTTGATAAAGGTAGCAATTTTAAATGCACTGGAAAAATAAGTGATGGCAGATTATCCCTATCCAGGCATGAAAATAAATGTTTCTCATCCCAGACAACAATAATTTTGGGGGCTGGTACGGTTTTGTTGTTTTGTTTGACACCTGAGTGACTGATTACAATATTTCCCCGTTTACGACTATAACATGTAAAAGAAAATGTGGTGAGGTTCCTTCAAAGACGTAGTCGTTTGAATCAGACTGAACATGATGTGCCTTAGCTTCATATCACAGACTCCAACGTGTCTCTGCTCAGCTTCGGAACCGTGCAGCCAGGTCGAGATTTAAAGAGGAGCAGCAACAGCAAATGAGGTGGATTAGCAGTGCTTGCCAACAACCGATGGTGAAATCTAGGACATGTTCATGAAGTCTCTCTGCTGCCTGGATATTGAGCTAACATGTCATGACAGCAACAGTCTTCAATCAGAGGCCTCTAGAGTTTATGAAAGATCCTTCCAGCCCACAGCATCACCGTCCACGACGACACTGAGGATACGAGCGATGCTAGTACTTACTTTCTCTTTGGAATAAATAAAGTGCTTTTAATTGTTGTTTTTATAGACTGAAACTGGTTAGAGTTCTTAGTTTTGGTGCACTTAATAAATACAAGGGGAAAAAAATACTTTTCATTATTTTCACGGGAATTATGGATCACAACCAATTAAAGATAAACTGGATGATTGCAATCTCTGGCTGGTTGATTAGTGTTCCCACATGCCTGACCTGTATCTAATTTTACCAGCAAAAAAGTTGCAAAGAAAATATTTGTCTTCATGAAATAATAAAGCAGGAGTTTTCATCTTGACTCATTTAATTAAGAGTGAAAAACAAAAACTGATTTCAGTTTCTGTCAATCAGCCATCAGAGTCTGATTTTAATCTTAAGGCTTTCTACTTTTTTTCCCATCAGGTGTTAACACACACTAAGACCAACAGTGGTACATGGCTGGCTACTGCCAGTTCTATAGCAAAAAGGGATTCATCTTCAAATTAGGAAGCTGCAACCACAGAAATGAACACCTTGAAAAGCTTTTGGAGACGCATTACATGTCTTACAATGATAGCAAAGGGGCTAACTGGTTGAGAAAAGATGGATGATGGAAATAGAACAGAAAAATTGATGCTTCTATACTTTTTCAGATTTTTATAACAAAACCAATCTGCTTACTCTCCCAGACTGCCTTGTTGTTGTAGTTTAACAACCAAAAAGCCCTGCAACTAATCTGCAGTTTAATCATCTTCTGATTTGCCGTCTAAAAACAGATTACAGACATCATATTTTAACATGCAGTTTAGCTGACAACCTGTGGTGTGAATATGTATTCCTTTAAATATTAGTCATCTTCATTTAAAAGCAGACGTTGCGGCATCTGGCTCATTACAAGGTGTCACATTAAATTGAAAAGTCTTGCTGAGCGAAGGCTCTAGGCTTCACGTTTGATAACTCTGACTCAAGTTAATCACCAGAACAGAGGAGAACCGTTTACCGCACAGAGGGCGAAATCAAATATGTCAGCGGCCATGCAAATGACACTGTCAAAGGAACTCATTAGTGCCATCAGACGTATAGATGAGGGCAATCAAAAGCAGCCTTGGGGATTTATTGTTGAATCTGCTATGAATGTTAAATAATTAAATTTTTTTTTCTGGTTAAGTCCATTTTATTTTCTCTGCATATGACCACAGAAGAAAACTTAATCAGGTTTGTTAGAGCAAGAGCTAGGCTGCAATAAAAAGTGGAGGTTCTCACCTTTGAACACGAGACGGAGGAGCGAAGACTCCATGTTTTGGAGGGCAGCTGAAGTATCTCACGCCTCCCACTGAGCCGTCGTTTTTGCCATTTGGCTTGTCCAGTTCAATGCCTAACCAGACACCTGCAGGGAAAGAAACCCAAAGGCATCAAAACTACACAAGAAAAGATGCACGGAACAGAGTTCTTATATTTCAGATGCTCTCCGACACCTGAAGCCAAGTCACCAATGATACTCACAAACAATGTGAACAAAAGAAAAGATCTTCAAGGCTAAACTATTAAACTTGAGGGTACATGGTTCCTGAACATTTTTCATATCAAAGGTTTGAAGGTTAGTTGGATGGTTGAATTGACAGACCACTGAGTGGGTTGGTTGATGGATGGATGAAGAATATGCACTGATGGCTGAAGGGATCCAAGCATAGAACAACAGATACAAGATAAAGTCTGATTTTTTTTTATTTTTTTTACCAGATTTACATTCAAAATAATATTCCAGACATTTCCAGGTCTCTACAGATTGTGGTGTGTCTCCATGGATGTGGCATTATGACTAATTCACCTTTTATAGTTCAACTGGAAAATCCCTTTACTAATGAGCGACTACTTTTAATGATACAGGTCATTGTTTGTGGCTCCTTGCTCCTAAATAAGATTTTTTTATGGGTTGAAAAATGGGAACTAGTTACCCAACTAAAAGAAAGTTCAAAGTTAAGTTTCGCACATGAACATCAACATGCTCACAGTCAACAAGTAAAAAAAAGAAAAAAGAAGAAAAAGGAAACATGTTTGTTTTTGGTGCACTGTAGTTAAAACGAAACGGCGCTGATTTAAGAGTATCAAAGGGGGAAATAAGACTGAAATCCCGTCGTGGTGTGAGACACATTAGTATTTATTTATACATAACTGATGCCTGAGGAGAACTGCTGTCTAAATATTAATGAGTCGTGTAAACTGCTGTGTTTATGTTGGGTGCGGGTTTTGTCTGAAGTAGTTTATTATATTATAGTGAATTTTTGGGGAATCTTTCCTGTTAAACCAGAGAATTTCCACTGCAGTAGTTTGTTACAGTATGCAAGTACGAAATGAAATCCAGAAAACATAAAATAGGACTGTTTAACTTTAGAACCATGTTTGCATCACTTTATAGGAATTTGTTTCTTTCCCCAAATCTAAAAAAATAAAATAGTAACTCCTGTTTGACAGCAATTACTTTACAAAACAAAACTGTTGTGATATCTCTACTTCTCGGGCTCCTGTTGTAAATAATGACAACTTAGAACAGGAAGGTTAGATTGAAGATAATTTATGTGCAGTTTTTGTATCTTCTGTTGTAATTCTTAAAGAGGAAAGGGATGCAAGCAAAAATCTTACCACAATGTTACGGTTTCTCAAAGCTAAAGCACAAAAGTCTGATTAGTTTTGTGCTAATCAGAGAAAAATGCATATTTACTAACCAGGAGCAAAGCTGGTTTTTCCACAGTACTGAACAACACCGGTTCTCTGTCCCGCCACCAGCACCCTCTCCCCCTGTCGCACCTCAGAGCCGTCATACAACGAGCTGCTTCCTGAGGGGGTTCTACTTCTGAAACCTGCAACGCATGCAACAAAAGACAGTTCAAGGTTCATGATGCCAGGATCTTCCTGAAATCTTTGGGTCAGTGTTTTGTACCTGCAGCTGGAGGAGCTGAGGAGCGGAACGAGGAGTGGAGTGCAGGTGATGGTGTCATCCTGGGACCAGGGGAGATGTTCTCCTTTCGCTGCCTGGCAGGGAGGCGCTGCCTAGGCAACGGACGAGGTCGGCCACCTGACCCATGACGAGAGTCCAACGAAGATGATGAAGACGAAAGGGAGCGGGAAAGAATACCTGTGGGGGGCAGGAGGATCATACAAAAAGATTAGGGAAAGAATATGCAACCATAACTCAAAGACCAAACATTTAAGTTAGGATCCCACCAAACCGCACAGCAGAAAACAAGATCAGGGTTCCAACACATTATTCAGGTAAAATTCAAGACTTTCTCTGCAAGAAGAAAAGACAGACTGACAGAGAGAACAAGAAGAGAAAAAGGAGAACACGGGAAAGACAAAGAGTTATTCACAGAGAGAGGAAAGGAGGTAGAATGCAAAGAAGAAAGAAGAGAACAAAGAAAAAACTAGAATGAAGGAAGGTAGGGCACCAAGATAAAAAAAAATGGCAAAATGGAGAAAAGAAAGGAACTAAGACGAGGTTTGAAGGACAGAAGGAAGAAAATCTAAAAGGTGCAAACACAAAGTTCAGAAACAAAGCGAAAAAAAACTGGAAGGGGAAAAAAAAATACTAAGAAAAAAGGAAGTGAGAAAAAGAAATATACAAGTACATGAGGATGAAAGAATGGAAGGACAACACTTAGGACAATGTTATAGAAAAAAGTATGGAAATTAAAAGATGTTTCCAATGTTATCCTTTACTGGAAAATACTGACACCAAGTTGCACTCTTTACCAAGCTGTTCCATACTGCATAGGAAACATTCGAACAGAGGGCGTTTAAAGAAACGGGAAGAACCAAATGTGCCTGTTCCCTGCTTACAATGAATCCACCATCTTTCCATTCATGTCTGACTCAACCTACGGTTAACAATGATCTGTTATTTATTTGTGCCATGCAGGATAGCAATTCAGACAATTAAGGCTGGATTTTTCAGCAGCACAAACCAAGAGACCTTGTTCCTTTTGTTTGGTGTGAGCGATTACCGGAATCCAACTAAAGGCTGACGTGTTAATGCCCTCCTTCAACATGGGGGGATAAAATGAAGCCGAGGGCTCCAATTCCCTCTTTAGAGGCCATTTGGGCGCAGGACCTCATTAGGCTTTTACCTTCCACAGACCTTCCCAGGCTGCAAGTTCATTAAATGGCCGCTGCTCTGAGGGTAATTGATTTGGTCTGTGCCAAAGTGCTTTAAGAGGAGGATTCAGGTCCAAACAAACTGAAAAACAGACAGTAATGGAAAAGAAGCATCTAGTCTGTGTTTTGAATCTGTTTCACTACAATTTGCACTATGTTTTCAGCATAAATTTTGTTTGTCATCATCACTGAGCTCCCCAGAAAAACAAGTATTGATGCTGGATTCATGCATTAGAATTTCGCAAGATCAAGTGGTTTCTGAGGTTTATAGTTTCCACACTTTTAGTAAAGCTCTACACTAATAATGCAAACATTCCCAAACCACAATCTCTACACCAACTCAGGAGTCAGCACACACCACAGTACCTGTCTTACTGACTGAGGGGTCCTCTGTGCTTTGACTGGGACATGGTGGATGCTTTTCACTGTCAGGTGTTTCTTTAACAGAGGGTGATAAACCTTTCCACACAGAGACATTCAGTTCTTAATTACACACACAGTGATGATAAAAAGACAGGATAACACACACACACACACATTTCTAGGATATAAGGTGCCAGCACATGAAATGGTCATGTCTTTACTGGGTTAAAACATTATTCAAATTTAGCCTCAAGTTCACAGCAGCAGTAGATTCCACAGAGCCATTATTTATTGAACCAAACATGAAACCAACAAGGGAAAGAAGGATGTAAGTATAAAGTACACCCAAGAGAAAACACAGTGGACAGGTCCTGCTGCTTAAATACACCCGACTAACTTATAGGTGCCATAAGATAATAAACTAGCTATGTTGCTAGAGAGGACATTATAGACATTTGTGAACAGTAGAAGTGCGGTTAGTATCTCCAAGCTCAGAGTTCACAAAAACAGTAAGAGTCCCATCTGAGAATCCAAAGATCACAAAAGAAAATATTTGTATTGGCACATCCATATAGAAAACCCCATGGCCACAATTACAGGTGGGTAGTGACCAATTAAATGTAACCTTTTGGTACATATTTACTACTGGGAGTAGTTTACTACTGCAAAGTACTTTTTACTTTAACTTGAGTAATGATATGTTGAAGGAATGATGCTCTTCAGTAAACTTCATCTAGTCTAGAGGTCATTCACCCATGCATGGTGGTGAGCTACATTGTAGCCACAGCTGCCCTGGGCACCAGCAACACCGGGCTCTCTGACCAGCAGGCAAGGCGGGTCAAGTGTCCCGCCCAACTAAACATGACAGAGATAGAAAGTTCTAACTTGAACTGTGAACTGTAAAAAGTGTAGCACTCCAGAGGGAAAGTAAAAAAAAAAAAAAAGAACATTCTAAATAGAGGAATTATGTAAATAACATAACAAGGAAACAAATTTTTTCAAAGTAACTTAAATATGCCAAGACAAGCAATTAAATCCAAGCTAAATCTGAAATGGCAGCAAACAAAGCATTTAAAAAAAGAATCTCACATGGCAAACTACTAACAGTATTCCCACTTGAGGCAGAAAATAGCTTATAAACCATAAAAACGTACAGTACATTGTTGTTATCCCACTTGTAGTAGTAAATTAACTACCATTTAAATCACGAAACATTTTTAATTGGACATCATCGAGCAAATATCTGAAGCAATTGTAGGGAAAAGAACATCCCTAATGAGGATTCAGGCGACACATTCTCAAGTTTTATTTACAGGAAAATACTAACATTGGACGGGTACTGTATTTGTTTTTAGGTTTTTTAGTCCACTGAAGACAGCTGGAAATACACTTGACTGCATTCAAACTTAGAATAGCAAACATTTGTTGTCAGTTGACCTTTAGCTTGCAGAGCCCAGCAGGTGCCATCCATCCCCCTCCACGCCCTGACGTTCACTTCAGGTGGCAGAGGGAGGCTTTGTAAATCTAAGCAGAGCTCCTTTGTGATGCCACCCATGCACCCTTTGCACTCTAAGGCTGGCCCTCATCGGGACGAGGCTGGCATTCTCCTGCATATGTCTGACTGACGTGGTTAGAGAGGACAGACAGTTGCACAACGAGTGAACCAATCCGATCGATAAACATGACCGAGCCCTCTCCTGCAGCGAACCAACGGGACGGTAAAATGCCGGTGTCTCTGAAAGTTGGGCTGACAAAAGGCCTGAGAAGTGAGCAGTCATAAATTAGCCTAGTTCAGGTTGAACAACGGTGCAGACACGTTTGCCCTCAGATGCATTGTATGCTGTTCGTAAACACTCACTCACACACCTTGTGATTAATGGCTGCCAGGCCACTCAGCCTGTCTATGCCCTAGTTATTAAACTCAGCTTAATTGGACTATCAATCACCAAACAGCACAGGCCTCTCTAAGGTCCGGTATTCCAGTCACATCCCGATCAATCGGCCTTCAGAACCCTGACAATTACAACACCACAATACAGCTGTAAACCTGAGAAGTGGCAGGAATAACGAAAACATAAGACAAGGTTTCTGAGGGAAATTAACAAAGGAAGTCATTTGTCAGAAGTTGGTGGAAACGAGCGTTCAAGGACTGAGAGAGCAGCGTCTAATGTATGCATTGTCCTTTGGCAGAGGTTCAGAACCCACTTTCAAGAAAGATTAATATAAAAAGCTACGATGCAATAAATCTTGGATGCAGTAACAGTTCATTCAGGACAGGCAAAATAAAATAGGATCTTGTTCAATGGAGAAAAAAAGAAGCATGAAAATTACATCTATATGCGACTAAACCGTTTTTAGTTGATGGCTTTCCTCCTGCTTTAGTTGCCCTGCAGGAGGCCTAAAAACCTTAAAATGCTAGAATGAAAACTGGCAGGACACACAATGCAATTTATCTATATAGCAGCAATTCGTAGAAATAGGAGGCAATTTGTGAGAGCAAGTGTTTAGGCATCCCTGAATGGACACCAGTGGATATTCAACAATTTCTCAAATAATCATGAAGAAAAAAAAAATTAAAGCATGTATATTTTTGATGAGTGAATAACAATATAATGGGATGCAAAGCTCAAAAAGGTCTTTCACATAATATACATAATATCCCTATTTAAACATGGCGATGTTTAAACTGGCAATGTTTGATGTATTAATATTAGTCATGCATCGTTAAATCCCTTCTGGTTTACAACCACCTAATTTTACACAGCTATATAATGCTACAAGCGACATCTTTTAACATCATTTGTTAAATGAAAATGAGCTTATAATCTGAATTTTCTTCATAAGCATTGCAACGTAAGAAAGTCATTTAGGGGCGCATTCTTGCTACCAACAATGTATCCATGGCCGTCTCCAGGGAATGGTACAAGAAATTCTCTGACATGAAAAATCATCTGCCCCCTTTTGACAAGATTTTTTCATCCACATTCAGGAATTCTTCATTCCTTTTGGCCCGTTGGCTTCTCAAGCTCTCCGTTTCTGTGGTCGAGGTTATGACATGCCTTTTTATTACTGTACATAGTGGCAGACCTCCTCAGGGAAGCATATTTTCCTAAAAGCTTTCGTGCTTCACCTTGTTGCAATGTTCAGTGAACCTGACAGAGCCACAGCACAGCTTAATCCTATGAGCAGAACCAGGGAAATCATTGTTCAACCAGACAAAGCTGCCACAACAAAACCCTGTTCATAAGCGTTTCTGATTCAAGGGAGTCTGAATAACAAATGCACTTCATGAGCAGCTCGTTTTTTTTTGTTTTTTTTACCTGTGTTAATCTTGGAAGTAATGCGGGACACGTCGATGCGACGAGGAGGGCGCAGAGGAGGCTTTGTAGAGCTCGATTTATGTTTTTCCAAGGGTTTACTTATCTTGGACAGGGGAGCAAAAATTCCTATGAAAAAAAAAAAAAAAAAAGCACAGAACAAAACAAGGAGTCATGACTCAGATTAAAGAGTGGATGAGTCAGTGATTAAGCACTGCAGCATGATGAGGCATACCGTGTTTGAGTCGACAGGTAAAATACTGAACCCCTGCTACGCAGCCATCATTCTTCCCCTCTGGTTTATCTAGCTCCACTCCGGCCCACAGGCCTCCAGAGAACTCTGTGCTGCCGCAGAACCGCAACGTCCCAACCTGCCAACACAAAATAAATATGAAACAAACACAAAACATCACAGTAATGCATTACAGAGGGTCAAAACGCCAAGTTATCAATTCAAATTGAATATAAATACATGAGCCCCTTGACGAGATTATGAAAGATGTAATGTGGAGAATAAACCTACAGCTAAGTTGCACATAAACAAAGAGGAACAGTGCCACCTAAGGGGTGAAATACAGTTAATCTGCTATGCATAGTAGCCAGATGCCCAGACTATGCTGTGGTGTTTGCCATCTTCAGCATTTTGTTATGAAACCTCAAATCAAAAGATTACATTGAAATATTATTTCAATATTTTATTTTAATCAACTATGTACCAGAACCTCCTAATTGGAAACGGCTGGTTTCAGCTGACATTCAGTGAAAGCAGTTTGCCTAAGCTCTCCCAGATCACACCAAACAACAACAACAACAACACTCTTTAGTGCAGAAACTGTAACAGAGTTCAGTGGAAGACTCAACTATATTTTCAATATCAGTGATTTGGTTATAATGAATTCAGAGGAAGCAAAATGTTTTAATCAGCTGTTTAAAATGAAAATATGTTATCTGCTCATGAAACAAACTAGATTTAAGTATATTGGCAACCTTCAAATCAAATGAGGCGCGACTCTGAGCAGCCAGAGCTTAAGGTGTTGTCAGGATATGTTTAGACTTTTATGGGTTTCTCCAACCTAGGACTCCGTGTGGGACGGAAAATGCAATTTGTTTTAGTTACTGTCCAATCAGCTTCTGGGATGAAGATTGTCAATATTTTGCCAATATTTTTATTTTTATTTCAGAATCGCACACAGAAGCGAACAAATTCATTTGTATCTGTGATCAAAGGTTGACAAACTGCACAAACCTGGTTTTCTCATGTAGTTTATTTAACAAGATTGAATAATTTGATTTAGTGAAAATATTTTTGCACCTCATTTGCAATGCTTTGTTGATTTGAATAGTAAATTTGAAAATATTCCAGTTAAACACCACAGCTGACAAATCTAATAACCTCCAACACTCTTAATCCAACAACCTCACCTAATATGATCTTTGCAAGTTCTGGCAAAAAGTAACTTTTACTTTGAATCATTGAAATCTGACCAACTTGGATCCTTAGACCATGCTGTCTCATGCTTCAATACAACTGAAAAATTTTAAGGTCTCATTTAAATTTAATAAACTCCTGAGCACAGTGCAGAAGAAGCAGTCCCTTATGTTATAAATTCAGTTTCTTGGATCTGGCGGTGTTTCAGTGTTTCAAAGTTGCACAGAAAAAAAAACATTAAAAAACGACTCCCTAAAATCACTGCATTAAATTTGCTCTTCTGTGTTCTGAAGGTAATAGAAACCCTGAAAGTTTATAGGAACAGAGTGCTTTAATTAAGTACAAAGTTCATACCTTTCAGCATTAATGGATTTGCACAACATTGTGCTCTGAATGTGGAAACAAAAATTGGACTTTCTAGATGCTCCAAACAATATTTCATACACTTGTAAAATAAAGGTCTGATCACCAAGGAGACATGTAAAAAATGCAAAAAGCTTAGAGACGCAGCTAATTTTCATAAGTTGGATCAGAAACTGTTTTTCAAGTTGATGGGTTTAGAGATGCGGTCAGAATTTTATGAATTAAAGGCTTTAAAGATTTAGTTGGACCCCTTTTTCCCAGGGTGGAATAATTAGAGCACATACAACTTCAGTTATTTCTAAAAAACAAGAACTGGGATCACAAGTTTGTATACACAGTTTTTTTCTCTAATTCACAGGGCTTTACAAACACCTCCACTAATATTTGGTGAAACATCCCTCAGATTGCTTTTAGTGGTGACCAACAATGTTGGCTGAATTGGCTGACCAGTCTTCTTGGAGGAATTGGTAGAAATAATTTAAGTTGATTAGTTCCTTGTCATTCACCTGTTACTATTAAGTGTTGGGAAAAAATCACTAACATCTGTCTAACATTAGACGGATTTATCCATTTTAATATAAATTTCTATGTTTGTTTCGGATAATTATGTCGCTAGATCACCCGATTGAGTTCAAGTTTCAACCATCTAGCTGTTCGTCTGAGGGGACCTTGAAGAATTCAGAAGTCCTCCTGCTTGAAAAATTTAAATGATTTGAAAGAACAATGATCTGGTTTTGAATTGGAAGAGTTTTAGAAATGTCTGCCAAAATACTTCCAACTCGTGCAAATCTAGAATAGGATGTTGGGTCTCCATAAAGTTCCTTAGACTCCCTGTTCTGAGATTTGGTCAATCCAAAATTGCTGTCCACCATTTGATTCTTATGTCGGCAGACAAATTTCCTGCTGCATTCAGTCACTGTGACTGGTGGAGAGATAATAGATGCTGGACACCTCAAGTTATTAGTAAAAATATTTACTTTAGGTAAATGATTTCTTTTTTGCACACACACACAAAAAATCACTTGCATAACTGTACGGCAGAAAAGGAGGGGGTTAGAAAAAAGCAGTAAAAGCTTCAAAAAACTGATTTTGATAGAGTTTTGGAAATATACCGAAGCAAGAGTCAGGTATTTGATTCAACCAAACAGAATTAATCACACATCATGGCACAATCATAAATTTAAACCCATCCAAAATGAGTGAGGTGGTACTTGTGATCGGAACCACAAATTAATATCTACGCACAAACACAATATGACAACTATTTAGACACAGCTGTGCTACAGGCCTTCTCTGCTTTCTTAGAGCGCTTTATGTCAAAAGGATTACACATGGTTCCAGCCGATCATAGCTGATCAACAAGACTGAAGATTTTCTTTAGGCATAAAAACATTTTATGACAGACGCATTTTCTGATACATTCTGTACCTCAAATAAATACAGAAAAAAAACAGAGTTTACTGTTGTGACACTGCAACAATCTGACAGCCAAGAGCATAAATTGCCTGCTAGTGAGGATATTCCTGAAACGTAACCTGTAATTATACTGTGACTTGTCAAGAGACTTTGCATTAATGCTCATTGGAGTGCTGGTTTGTGCTGATAACAAGTGTGCCACTTTGAGGCAATAAACATGTGTAATGAGCTCAAGTGAGAAGTATGAACAACAGTCACAGTCTAGTCAACACCGTTGGTGGTGCAGATCAAAGAAAGGTGTAAAAGAAGATGACTCACAGGCAAAGAAGATGCATAATCAGTACAGGCCTTTCACTCACAGATGCAGTCTGTAACGGATGTGTGCAGCCTGTGAAATGCATTTAAGAAGATCTATAAAAAATACTAAATAGTCACATCAATCTGAGATTCGGTTCCATCCTCGCTGGCATCACGTCTAGGCTTGTTAAATGCTAAATTAAATAAGATACTCCTGTATTAGGCTAAAAATACCAGATTGTGACTCGCTGCTGCTGGGAAACTGCTTATTTTAAAAAAGTTTCTTGTTTTTGCAAATCACTGAATCCTAATTAGAAACTTAATCTAGTACAGTAGCGAGATATGAAAAACAAATAACAGGGGTTTATTTGATCCAGTACAGCTTGAATGACCTCTAAGCAAGACTTCTCCATCAGAAAAAAAAAAAAAGATAGTCTCTTTTCCTTCGTCAGCAACATGAAAACAAACCTTCTGTCCAGCAATCACCACACGATCCCCGAGTCGGATTCCCATGGATGCGAGCTGCAGCCTGGCCTTATCAGAGACAGCAGGGATGACCTGGCCTTGCAGTGTGAGGGGCAAAGGGGAGCTGGGTCTCGGTAAAGCCTGCCTCAGCAGAGTCCGGAGCTCTTTGGCCATGGCGGCAGCATCTGCCATCTCCAGGGGCATATCCAGTGGATCAGGTACAACATCTGCTGGACACTGCCCTTTGTCATTCTAGAAGAAGAGGGACGACTTATTTAAGAACTGGATTTCATTTTATTTGAAAAAGAAAAACAAACTGTAAAATGCAATTGGTAAAATCAAACAACCACCACTCTCCAAATATTAAGCAGGTATAGAAGATTTATGCATTCTTTCATTTTTATGTTTGGGTCTATTTCGAACCAATAAAAAAAGCAACACAGAGAACAGATTGTTTTCTCCAAAATGAAAATGGCCACTACTTGCAATATCAAAATAAGAACAATTGTGTCAATGCACTTGGATCGTAGCAAATAAGTTCCTTTCTCCAGGTAGCTCAGCTCAATTGTGTGAATCACTAAAATGCTCAATTTATTTATTTATTTTGTATTTTAATTTATAATGATTTTAAACTGCAATTTATTAACTGTGGTTCTGATCCTAATATGTGCCAGTTGAATAATATGAAATATTATGACTGCAGATTAAACCCAAAACAAACTACCTATTCATAGTCCCGCAGGGGACTATGAGAAATAAATTACGGAGAATTACTTTAATTTTCAAACTATCAAAAGGCTATTATTTACCTGATTTGAAAAAGGATTTTTTCAAATCAGGTAAATAATAAAAAAAAAACTGACAGGCAAACCTCAGTATACGGTCTAACCAACTAACTAACCAAACCGCGAAGGTAAGAAAGGCCGAAGGAGGTAATGACCCACAAAGAGCAAATTATGATGTCATGGCTTTGGACACTTCTGATTGGTTAGCTGACACACTTGAGCTCATTAGAGGTACACCTGTGAATGTATGTTAAAGCCACACCTTGAACACACTGCTTTCTTTTCGGCGTAAAGGGGAAGTAAAAAATCTGCCAAAATATCAGGAAGAGAATTTTCTGGTTCATCCTTGAGAACAATTTCCAGATGCTTGAAGGAGCCGCTTTCATCTGTTCAAACAATTATACGCAAGCATAGACATGATGGGAATGTCTAACCATCAAACCTCTGAAGAAGGAGATGGGGGTTTTTTTGTCCCAGAAATGAAAGTGGTTTGGTGTGAAATGTACAAAACAGCCCCAGAACAAAAGCCAAAGACCTTAAGACGATGCAGGATGAAGCTGGCAAGACTGCGTCATCATTCACAGTGACGCGTGTCCTGTACCAACATAGGTCAAAAGCCACCCAGTGCCCAAATATAAGAGTTTTACTCAACTGCAGCACTACAGTAGACCAAGCTTAAAGGTAAATCTTCAAGCTCAAGGAGAAAAATATAGGACTTGTAACTAGTTTACTATGAAGACTTCTCCGTCTGTACTTTAATGAGAACAACTGCCAACTTCTATTGCACATTAGACTCCATCACTTCTACATCACATAGAAACATCAGAACTTGCGTGCCCCTTTCAAAAGAGATCACTTATTTCTCTCACATTCTTTAATTATATTTCAACTCCCAGAACGAAATCCCCATCAGTACATTTCAAAGAAGCTGATCAGCGGAAAGTAACATGAAGGTTTACCCAGGTGACTCTACGACAGTGAAGATAGACATCTTTGAGTCAGCAAGCTATATTTCAGAAGGAATGCTGCACAGGGAGGTTGTTGTAGAGGTCTGACAGAGGAGAAACCTCAGCAGGAACACTTTATTTGGTTATTTTATGTGGTTTATGCTGCACTAAGAAATAGGTTGCACTTGTTAATGTTCAAACACTAAGCTAACGTCCGCCCCTCACAATCTGCCTTGTGTGTGGGTAGGTGAGACATTGAGGCAAAAGAAATTAAATGCTGTTATACCTTCACTCATACAATAGTTTATTTATTGGGAAAAGGTCTAACCAAGTCATCTCCACATATCCAGTTGTGTTAATCATAGTTCATAATCAAATTTAATCCCAAGCAATGCCTCACAGCAAGACATTCTTTAAACTCTTTCCCACACTGACATCGACAAGCTGCAAATGGCTCTCTCCCACACAGCAGCCCCACTGTGTCTACAACAGTTAAATTATAATGTTCAGGGGTTGTCAACAGGCATGCTGGAGAGTTATTTACAGCCAGAAAGAGGCTGTACTGAAAAGGGTTTCACATTTCTATCCACTATAATTTATAGGCAAACTGAATTTCAAGAAAGCAATTCTTTACGTGACAAACATCAGAAATTATTTTGAACATATACGATAGTCAGGAAAGTGATACTTGTAGGCAAGCATTTCAAAATTTGGGACGATGGTGTTTGAGAAAACACGTCAGACATTACCGATGAAATCTGATATTGTCCAAAAAATAAAAAGCTCAAATTGTTGGACACGTTAACCAATGCGCTTCTCCTCTAAGCTTGCCAATATACTGTTATATTTCCAAAGTTCAAGCAGGTTCATGGGCAGATTTTTCTGTGGCAGAACAAAGTCTGAATTAACAATCACATTTATTAATGTGCTTCAAACCTGCTGCCTTTAACCTCGAAGTGAGTTTTAATTTGGTGCGTCATATTCAAAATACTTAAAGTTATTTATGCTTGAATATTAATATTTACATCAAATGGTACATCAGCAAGGTTGTAACCAAGGAGTCTTTAAATGGGGTTAAATGGAGGCAGTGATGATTTTGGGTGTCACCAAAATAAAATAAATTTAAAAAAAACCCAGCAGAGCTACAATACAAAGTGGGTGACAGACTGACCATAATTCTGAAAATAATTCTAACTGAAGCAATTTATCTTGATTTTATTCAATAAATATATTATCCACAAGACTCTCATAATGAGTCTTGTGGATAGTCTCATAATGAGACTATATTTCATTTATTCTCAAATGAATGATCAGGACTGTGAGATAAACACAATTTTTTTTTGAGTGTTTATCTCACAGTCACTGTGTGAAAAGGAATGAATACGAGTTACACTTTTACAACTGAATTACTGAAATAAATACAATTTTATAACATGATTTTCTGTTTTCAATTCATAAAATCTGCATCAACAGTAAATACTCTTAGTCAAAACTTTCCTCTGCTTTAATTCAAGGTTTGCTCTAAAGAACCTTGCAAGGCCAGGCAAGATAACCTTTAGACAAAAACCATTCAATAAGTATTTTTAAAACATTAATTTTATATAATACAAAATAAAAGTTAGACATCAACATGAAATAGTGAATATGTTGAAAATACAATTTCAGTCCAAGTCCTAAAAAGCTACATTATTGGAGCAACATTCATCTCCATAGAAAAAGGAAAATATATAAATCATGTCGAGATAAACAAATTGGATCAAAGTAAATTCTGGTAAATGATGAAAAAACAGAGGCAGCAAAGTCAGGAGACACTTGGTTCAGTCATGGACAATAATTTTACTGGCATAACAAATGAAATCTCAGACAAAAATTTTTCAACTTGGCAAAAGTAAGCAGCAAACATTCCCATTAACTTAACAACTTTAAATATCTAAATTCAAAAGTCAGACCAGATCTGGTCTAAATATTCAAGTCCAAGTATGGCCCTAGGTTTGCATTCACAGCCCAAAATAAGCTGAAAAATGAGAGAGCACTTATGGACTCACCGCAGAGCAAGAAAATGATTGTATAATTGTGCATAGTGCTTTGGTGACCTCCAGTGGAAGCTGGCATTAAAACGACATAAAAACCAGTAAAGGCAGAACTGACAGCAGAGATCTCCTCATGGACAAGTATAAATTAATCTAAAATCTATGGCCTAAAAGAGTCTGGTGCATTTTAATGTCCTCAAATGACAGCAAGATGGTTGATTTGTTTGCATTCACACTTTCTATTTAACTGTTTTTGTAGAAGGGGTACTGCTAAAAAATTAAAGACATTTAATTTAAAAACAGTGTTCAGTGTCAGTTTAATCAGGTTCAGCATGAGTGCATGCAGCCTTTATATGAGCTAAATGAGGCAACGGATAGATTTAGGACAGACGTTTATATTCAGTTCAGTAACCATTGGTGTTGATTTCTTACCATCTCTGCACAGGTTTCCCATGCATTATGTCAAAATGCTAAGGTCAGAGAGGGGTCCAAAAAATTATGTCAGCTATTTCTACAGCAGTGAAATCTGGAAAAACCGGAGCTAAAAACCGGGTGGACAGATGCATATTAGAAAGATGGATTTAACAGTTCATGGGACAGAAAATAAATCCCAGACATACAAGTATTTTCAGCAATTTTTTGTATTTGTACAAGCCTGGAAAAAAGCTCCCCAAAAAAATCTAAAAACTTTTCCATATGTATTAACCCAGTTTGCCTTCGCATGAGCTAAATTTCGGCTGAAATAAATTACTAAGATAGCTGCCACTTATTAGTTAATTATGCATTTACTATATTAAGCATGCTAATTAAACTATATGAACCAATTTAAAATTTGTTTGCATTATATCTAAATGTGGAAACTGATTCTTAAGGTGGAAATTGATGTAAATTACATTTCCAGAACTGCAGAACCATTTCACACAAAAACAGCTGCACCTGAGGGCAGATGAATAGACCTCCTTTCTTCACACAAAAGTAAAAAAAAAAAAGTGGAATAAATAACACAGATGATTACAGCAAGGATCCCAGGAAGCCAACATAAATAAATGCACCTGTGGTTTTCCTGCTACAGCCTGTTCTGAAGGAAATGTTCGCTGTTCCGTACTGACATTTTTATAAAGTCTAGACCCATTATTTACAGTCCATTTGAGCTTGTATACCAAGCAATTATTTCTCAGAGTTTGGGTGTGAAGCATTAATCATAGAAAACATGTTTTCTGTAGCTTTTGATAAACCATACATTTCTATAATAGCTGAAAGTTGTTCTACCTCCCCCCTCTGTCATGGAACAAGATAACAACTGGGTATGGCTTAATTCACACTCTACATATTCAATGCATTTCACCTGTTCTTGTGGCAAGAGAATAAAAGTATTTTTTATCCACACAGGTGCATAAATTGTGTACATTATTAATACAATTGAGATTCTCCAGATGCAAAAGGTAACAGGTTTGACCTCTTAACCAGCTCTGTAATCTATTAACTATTTAAACCAATCAATTAGTTCAGCTACTTATAGCTTTCAAGAAATTAAAGTTAGAATTTCTGAAAGCTATGAATAAAACGAAACATTTTCTTACATTTTCTCCATTTTTAATGGAGGGAACTTTAAAAATCACTCCAACACCTTATACTGGTTAAAGGTCAATTACATAGTTCTCCTTACTTATAGATGGCAGCACAATTCAAACTTTGTGGTTCTTTTAGCTTTAAATACCTTTTAAAGTCTTATAGAAGTTGCAAGTCACCAAATGTTAGTAAATATAACACTGGCTCAGATTAGCTAGCACATTTTGCTTCAGTGCATCACAAAAGTATTCGCAGATGTCTTTCCTGATGTCTTAAACTGTAATGAAGAATTAAAAAGAATCAATTCTCTTTCTAAATTAAGGGAAAATGGATCAGTGCCAAGATGCAACTCCAAACAGTTGAAATGGTGTGCTGAAATAATTCAAGAACTCAGAAGTCTGTTGGTGTGTGATTATACAGAAAAAAAAAAAAAAAGAAAAAAAACGTACCCTGAAAGCTGGATTAGCTCCCAACTCCAGGAGACGTTTGACAGCAGATGTGCACAAGTTGGATGCAGCAATGTGCAGAGCTGTGCCAAACTCAAAGTCACTGCAGGTGGCATCAACCTCTGCAGAGAAAAGGTAGAGGAATTAGTTTAATTTCAGGGATAGACTGCACAGTGCTGTGCTTTTCCCATTGTACTGTAATAGGAAAATTGCCAGTGTTCATATACCTTAAATATTTTTAGATTTTGAACTTTGTTATTGTATTTAAATTTACTGTGATAGACCAACAGAAGGTAGTGCATAATTGTGAATGCACTTGTATAGAGCACACTATAAATAAAGTCCAAGCAATATCTTTTAATCTCTCAGTTGCACTACCTATCTTTTTATTTCTTCCAGGATTATCCTGTATTTGGCCCCATCTAACTCACCAGAAGCTGATCAGAAGCCTCTCAACAGCATTATGCTATGTCATGCTATTGGGATGCAATAATCACATGTGCAAGTGATTATTGTTTTCAAAGGAATGTGATATGCTAGTTTTCCACTATACATGGCATTCTATGTGATAGAAACTTCTAGTCAAATCTAAAAAGGGAACTTTTGTACAAGTTTTCTTTATCCCCTGCATGGCTTGTAGAAAACTTCGGATGACTGATTATTCAGTCAATCTGCAAAAAAAAAACAACAACACAATTTCTCTGTATCCACAACAAGCATTAAATACAACACCATCACCATCTGCTGCCTCCATTCACCTGTGGATGAAACTAATAACCTTACAAACCAGAATGTTTACCACAGCAAGAAGATTAAATTGCTGAGGTTTTAATCTCTGTGGCAGTTGGTGCTGAAAATAGAAATGCCTGCCCTGCACTGAATGTTGCCACAATTGTCTCCTCTCTTCTCTGGCAGCAGTTCCCTGCTCTCACCTCCAGGCTGAGAGGCCTGCAGCACCACACCAACCAGCTGGGGAACGTCAAAGTAGGCAGCGTAATGCAGCGCCCTCATGTTGGTCCAGCGTGAACGAAGGTTGGGATCAGCACCCAAAGCAAGGAGCTGACGGGCGAAACTAGCTGCCGTTTCTGCATCACCTGAGGAGAAACAAAGTTTTGTTAACTTTCTTTTGTTTGTTTTTTTAAGAATTTGTTGAAATGGAAGAACATTTCTTAAACTTGAGCGCTTTTATTCAGCAGTAAAACAACAGAAAGAAAAGTCACAGTAGATGAGCACTGAGATTTAGAAGCAGTGGAAAAGAACTAACCAATTCCAGGAGCCCCAGCCTTACAACAGTAGTGCAGAAGGCTCATATCAGTCAATCCATCTCGGTCATTCACACCACAACCTCTCTTCAGGATCTGTGCAGAGACACGATGCGCAATGAGCCTCAAAGAGGCTAATGTCACTGTAGGAATGTCAAGTAACAGTGAAACTCAGGTACAGTGAAGTGGAGAATGAAATGATCCTCTGATAATGGCATTCCTTTTTAAATTTAGACACCATCAGGGACATCATGAAGGCATTCATTTCTCCAGAGTCAGAAAAAAGTGTGCAAGAAGAAATAATTGCTTATTTAAACCCTTAAAAGGAAAATTTCTCTGCACAATTTACTACATTGCAGGTATTTTCAATAACTTGTGATAAAAAGGTTTCTGGGTGAGTGGAGAGGAAATACATCTATCCAGTTTTCAGCTTATATGAGGATTGGGTTGCAGAGATGACAAGTCCAGGAGGAAACAGAAACATCCCTCAAAAATATTTCAAAACTTCAAAATTTGTGTGGAAAGGCTTATTAGAAAAATAACACTTTTCTGGTTTAAGAGATCCAGTTTAGAAAACCCATAAAGACCTCGCTGTGGCTCAATCTGAGTTTTACTTTGATCTATTCAATTTTCAATTCGATTTTGCATTGCAATACTAAAACAATAACTGAGAATCGGTCACCTCAATGCCAATGACGTCAATGTTTTTCTGAACCTGAGGTACCCATTGCCTGAGGACAGCAAACAGCTCAGGTATGGTGGTGTTGGGATCCTGAAGAATTTCTCTGCACTGCGGCTCAGACGGGTCAAAAAAGGAAAACTCTGGAGGAAAAGACAGACAAAAATAATGGCAAAACTAATCTGTTGCTATTCAAAACTCCACAGAAAGCTATTTAGTCCTGATATAAAGTTTTAGTATTAGATTATTAAACTGCATCAGAGTACTATGATCCTTTACAATTACTCTGCTTAAACCAGATGCAGGAGTTGACATGTACTGGGACAAATGAGAATTTAACAAACCCATTGTGGCTGAGGGGTCAAATTGATAACCTTTCCTTTAATCTAACCTATTTAAAACCTGACATTTTAATTACATTTCTAGGGAATGTTCATTCTCAGCATTCCAGTCACAAAAACTATATGCTACCTGTTCAGTGACCAACATGACTAAACAATCATAAAGGTATAAATGTTCTTGAGGGTTTCCTTGTGTCATCACATAAGGATTCCTCTGTTATCTCCCAGAAGCATTATCGAATAACTGGCTGAGTAATAACTGTAAGAAGTCTTAATTGTGTGTTGAGAATATAAGCTGTATGAACATTTCCTTCCAAAAGTATTAACGTCCCAACATTTTTTCATGTTTTCCCATGTTTAGAGTATAAAACATGGTCTAATAGGGCATGTTTTATGCAAGCAACAATGACTTGATGCTTAGCTTTCATGTCGTTTCTACCATATTGAAATAAACAGATGCTTTACTGGACATACATGTCCATGGATTTCAGAAGGAAATTTGAAACATCAGTGGAGTCAATTTTATAGAACTGTGGACAAAAGACTTCCTCACAATCTAAACAATATATGAAACTTTCCCAAGATAATGTAAACAAATAAGACTGAAGGATAAGGGTGAATGCTTCAGCCAGGGGTTTTCACATTTTTTCCTAACATTTATTTTTCCAATTGAAGTGTACAAGATAAATGTCACATTATTTGAAGATAAAGTTTTATTGTGTTTTATTTTATTGTGTTTTTCCTGCATCACAAATCCTCTCATTTAAATTTTTGTTTTGTTCTTAAAATTTAACCCAAGCCGATATTTTCATTATTAAACCAATCCTAAGATGTGACTTAACTAAGCATCTCTCCGTTCCACCTGTCAAGTCATTACTTTATCATTCTTTCTTTCAGAATGACCCAAATCCAGTTATCATACAGCATGAGCAGGTCCTCACCACAGTCACTGGGCATTGGTGCAGAAGCCACCTGGTGGATAACTGCCCGCTGGTGGGGAGCATTTCTTGTGAAGCAGCCCAGGACAGCATCTCCTTCAGCAGGCTCTGAAACATCCTCCTTCGTCATCTCCCCTTCAGGGCCCCCGGCTGGAACAATATTAGAAAGTCTATTCTGAGAACACAAGTAGGTCTTTTCTCTCAATAAAAAAAGCTTTAGCACACTGAAGTTTTCACTTGGTCCACTTCAAGATTTTTATTATTTTTTTAAACAAAGTAAGCTTTCTTTTTAAAACTACTGGCCTAATGTTCAAACAAGGGGGCTGCAGGAGAAGCAACACGGAGGCTGGAAACAGAAACTATGCTACAAATTAAAAACAAGCTCAGATTCACACACAGCCCAAGACTTACTGTTTTCTTTTCCATTATCCCTTTTCTTGATGGTCTCCATGAGAGCCTCTCAGTGGAGACAAGCTAAAAAAATCAAAAGACACAGACTGGGTCCAATAGCTGAGCAGAACTTCAAACCAAAATCCTTCCAAAAATAACTTCAAGTTAACTGGCTTCGGTCACTGCGATCTCCGATATCAAACTCACTCTTTCCATTTACACCTTGTTGATCCTCTGACTACCAGGTCCAGTTGCTATTTACAGTCTGCGCACTTTAAAGCCACAGTGGTCTCACCTCTGATCTCCCAAGATGGAGTTTCACTCTCACATGTGCACTACTGACCTCACTGCCAACTCGTCTGATTTGCCAGACATCACAGATCCACAACGTAGAGAATGTGACTGGAGGGTGAAAGTGCAAATAAACACTGTCCAACAGGGCAGTGGAGGTGGTGTCACAATAAAGGCCTTTCCAAATCCCGGTTACAGAAAGTACGCAGGCTGCTGAGGCATCCAAAGGAAAAAACTATTTAATAATTGTGTCTGTTACACAATTGTTTTTCCACCTCATTCAGGAAAAATAAAACCCACACACAAAAAAAGAAAAAAGAAAATTTTCAAAATGCAGAATATTGTCAACAATATAAAACTAAAATGTTTTTTTTATTTGATTTGAATATATCAAAAGTAGCAGCAAAAGTTATGCAATTACTCATTATCAAAAGTCTGGAGAAAGCTCATTATCAAAAGTCTGGAGAAAGCATAAAAATGCTGTCACAAGACAGCATTTTTATTTTATGCATTTCCAATTTCTTTTTATTGTATTTTCAGTATCCAGCTCAGCAGTGCTCAACACCAACCAGAAGAATTTTTTTTTTTTTAATTCAAGGTTAATACAGGTTTTCAGAAAGCTAAATGTTAGTTGGAGACCTTTAAAAAAAAAACACACAGTAAGTTCAATTTAGCACCTACATGAATTACAAAAAAATATCCAATACCTCACCTAGCATCTTATATTTTCCTTACTTTATAACTAAAGAAAAAAATAAACTGTCAACTTAGTTAGGTTAAATAGACAACAACCAGACTTTGGACACCCCCTGACATTTAGAAGTTGTACTTAAATTCACAATGTTAATACTGTTATCTTGGCAGGTTTATTCTAATATTTCAAAAGAAAAAAGCGGTGCTGCTCTCCACCTTTTAGGTACATCTCTGCTCCAACATTCCTGAATCAATTACCTACTCAGTCAGTTCTGCAGAGGTCTGGTAATTAGCTATTTATTTCATCCAGGTGTGTTGAAGCAGGGCTAGAGCTAAGGCTCCAGGACAGTGAATCTATGTAACTTTAGTTGTATACATCTAGTATATATGCACACACGCACACAATATAGGTGCACCCCATTATTTCAATACCTGCTGCTCCAGCAAAATACAATTAACTGGGATAATTGAGAACACCAGTGGACATACTGCTAATCATTTTATACTCAAACAGCATGCTAGCTGATAATATGCTGGGACTCTGGATTTCCATATCATGTTGTACAGTTATTTAATAAACTTGACGTTAGCCAACACAGCATCTCCACTTTTGAGGATATTAGCCTCCTCAAAAGTGACCTCCCGCTTATCTCACCTGTACCTATAACTGTGTGAGCAGAGGAAACGACTGAGTGGTGTTGTTCTGCACGTCCAATAAATACGGAATCAAGTTTGTATTCTATGAAGGTTAGCCAGTTAGCATATGTCCACAATAAGCTGATAGCTCACCCTCTAACAGGCAAACTACACCTTACTACTTAATAATGGTGTTCCTGAGAATAAGTGTCTACGAGTTAAGACTCGGTGCTGTCAGTGAAAATATACGATAAAAAGTTGCTAAAGTCATTTCTCACACTCTGTTAGCTCCTTAAATTAGAGTTCACCAAGAACAAACACTGAACCAAGAATGGCTCTTTCTTCGGAAAATTAAGGCCCTTGTCGAGCAGCAAATAATTCAAATTTTGCATTTAAAGCGGATCAATTTAGATATAAATATCAACCTTACCTTTGTTTGGAGGCGGGTTTCAGTTCATCAGCAAAAATAACCACAGAGCTAATACTAGCGGATTATTTTCCCTCAGCCCGAACGGCTACAGTGTAGTTTTTACCTTTCAGAGTAAAAGCTTTCATTATCAACTTCCGATTTTGAAAATAAAAGCATCAAATTCAGAAAAAAATAAACAGTCTTTTCCTGAAGGCGAGCAAATAAATAAATAAATAAATAAATAAAAAATACGAAGGCTGCATCTCAGTACATAAAATATGATATAACAGTCATTAAGTCTTTAAAGGGAAATAGATTACACAGGGAGCAAAACACTTCAAGCGTTTCTTTTTTTAATGGCTCACAGAAAATTAAACGTCAATATTCAGTTTCTTAAGGGTGTAAAGAAAATGGATGGATGGATGGATGGATGGATGGATGGATGGATGGATGGATGGATGGATGGATGGGAAATTTAACAATTATGTAAAACCAAAGATGAACTATAACATAGTTTACATAGACCCATAAAAGACTGCTGACTTGTCAGTGGTCAAGAAGTTACTGACCCTCAATATAGTTCCTCGTAAAAGTTTCATCTCAGGCAAAAGTGAAGATGAGTTAATGCAAGGCTCTTCCATTTCTCGTGTGAGCTGCCTCCTGTGGCAGAATTGAAAATTACAACACAATGTAGCGAGTGAGAGTGTTTCATCCTGCAGCTGGTCAGTGATTAAACAGAGTAGCTTCAAGCAGTGCTATATAAGAACGCCCTCTTGTGGCGGAATACAGAATAGCCACACATAACTGCTCCTTGGTGACGTTTTAGTTCTAGAGCTAATTTTAACTTTCACATGGGTTTTTCCATACTGCATTGAGTGTGTTACGTTAAGTCAACATGTTAACGATAGGCTACGTGTTATTTTAGCTGTCTCTAGCTGTACAGCTAATTTTAGCATTTACATGAGTTATTTCACACTGTTACAATAGGTCAACATGCTAGTGCTAGCAACTCTCCTCTTACCAAGTCTGGTTTGACAGATAAAAACATCTCACAAAAAATGGTGAATATTTTTTAAAACAGTAAAACTTATAAGTGCTGGAATATAAGTTGCTACACTGAATAATCACGAAGGTCTATGGAATTGTAAAACAAGAGGTAGTTGATGCATTTTAAGTGTAGATTCTCTTGTTAGACCCGTTTCCATGGAAACGTAAACAAAACGAACCGTGATTTGGGTCGGCTTCCCTACCTTATACCTAAAGCTAACGGAGGTAAATCTTCACCGTGCCGACGTCTTCATGGATCCCTCAAAAAGCCGCTCAGAGTATGATGAGAGTCGCAAAAATCCAGTAAGTTTGGCCGAGCAATGGAAAGACCTGTGTGTAAAAGAGAGGAGAATAGCGTTGGAATGGTAAGCTGAAGAAGCATGAGCGGAAAAAAGCAAGCGTAGCTGTTTTGTGTCAAAAATAATTTCACCAACAAGCTGTTGTTCACAGGGATGAGACCTGGGGCGTTGTCCTGGGATGTGGCACACAGGTGAACACCACCTGCTTTATTCAAAACTGATATTTACACAGCAGCCCCTACAACTGGGGTGCCCAAAGTCGGACCGACTTCGGGCACCCCTGCCCTACACACTTTGCCACTCCTCACCAACAGTGATAACCTGTGGATGTTTGCAGGATGCCCCAATGGAGGAGAAGTCTTTACCGAAAAACCTTTCGGTCTATTCCGAGTTCGTCCCCAACACAGCCAATCAAGTCTATGGCAGCAGGCAAGTCATGCCTCACGGGAAGGAGATGATCAAACAGCACGGGTTGCCACTCTTTCATGGAAGCTACAGAGGAAAGAAAAAGACTGTGGAGAAGGAAACATGATACATCCTCCAAAGCATGGGACTGCATTGGGATTTTTATAAAATCATAAATAAGATGTCAGTGATTACTCTGTGTCCTATGTCAAAAAAGAGGAGGCAAGCCTGTTGTTAATGTCTAATTACCTCTTGAGGTAAACTTACAAATGCATTGGAAGAAATAAAAGTTGTCAGGGCTGTAACAGAATTTTAAAAAGCAAAGCCGCTGACTCAGAAAATAGGATACAGTTTTAAGTCGCCTGAGCTCTCTTGAGTGGTTAAACAGGTACCTGAGCTAATTTGGATGAGTGAAAAGTTGTGTATTTGATACTCCATTTACTGCCAGATCTATCCAGGACCTCAAGGAAACGAGCAAAAAGTGGCTGTCCAAAGACATTGGATTTCACATTAGATAGATAGATAGATAGATAGATAGATAGATAGATAGATAGATAGATAGATAGATAGATAGATAGATAGATAGATAGATAGATAGATAGATAGATGTAACAATATTCGATAGAGTAATCAATTAGTAGAATAGTCTTTTACAACAGCGCTAACTGAGACCATTTTAAAGTGTAATTATAGCATTCTATGGCAGGGCTCTTCAACTCCATTCTTTGAGGGCCAGTTTCCTGCCACTTTTAGATGCGTCTCTATTAAATTCCAAAATGAACCTGCGTTCAGTATTTACTAGGTTTTAAATACTGTGGTTGTTTCTGAGCCAATCATCTTTCAGACTATGTATGCGGAAATGAGAAACGATGCCACCACCGGCTGACAGGAAACTGTCATATTTATACCATATCAACGGATGTCAAGCGCATTTTTTCAGATTAAAAGCATTTGTTCATTTATTTAATCACTTAATATATATGCACATTATTTTCATTGAAATATATTTAGATAATTTGTATTTTATAAATAGGTTTTGATGATTCCTGGTGACAGTAGTTTAGCGAGCGTACACAAATTAATTTCTACTATTATTTTGAAAATATACACCGGATTTCCGATCAGAGTCAAAGTACCTTAACAGTGTTTGCGTCACAGCGGCATCTGGAAGCTAGTGTTATTTATTAAAAAACGAAATAAAAAGATTAAAATAAAATTTAAAGATCCATCATGCAGTCCGACACTCTGCTGCACATCGCCAACTTCAGCACGCTGTTCCTCTGCATGGTGCTGAAGTTCCCGCAGATCTTCGTGTTGATGAGAGCCAAACGTTCAACAGGGATCAGCCTCAACAGTCTGCTGCTGGAGCTCATTGGGTAGGTGGACTCTGCAGGACTTTATGATGCACTTTTATCATAAACTCCTGGTTAAAGTGATTCGTAGCTGTTAGAGGAAGATGAATGGTGACGGAGGTGAGGAAGGGCTCAGCTTTGATGTGTTGTCTTCCTGTTTCTATATGTGTGCATGTGCTTAAAAAGAATAGGAAGTATATTTGTGCTGTCTAGTTCGTTTAAATGCGTGTGAAAGTTGATTGTAAGTCAAATAAAACTCTGTTTTTCCACTCAGTGAGATTCCAGTGTAATGATAATGTTCGTAAAGCGGACAGAACTGGACCTGTTTATATGAATCACTGCGCCGACGGCTCTCACAAACTGCCCTCTGTTGGATTTGTGGGGATAAACATCAGACTGACTGTCTAAAGCAGAATAATACGCCTGTGTCCTGATTACAGCTGCTCAGAATGTTTTTGCTGATAAAGAAACCTTATCAGCTTCAAACACTCAGCATCCATCTGGAAAATGAGCCGAGGTTAAGACTATGAAGACCCAGAAAGGCTGCAAACAGTTTGAAATATAAATGTGGAAATGCAGGGCTGTTTTTAACCATTCACAACCAACCTACACGCACAACACAGAAATCTGCGGAAGCGTATACACTCTTCATAGATACAATGATTGCAATGATCATAGACCCACACAAATTCAATGGATGCACCGTTTCCAAAAGTTCTTAATAAAACTCTGAAAGATGTGATATGCATATTCAAGCCTCCTTACTCAGCTTAGCACTTAATATAAAATGCATGCCACACTTTTCAGATTTTCACTGAAAAACTAATTCAACCTCTTTTCCTTCCACTTCACAGTTGAGCACCTCTTTGTATTGGTCCGTCACAGTAAATACCAATAAAACACATTGAAGTTTGTAGCTGTAAAATGACAAAATGTGAGAAAGTTTACAGGGTTGTGGATAATTTTGCCAGGTGCTGTGCGTTTTTGAAGTTCTCTACAGTAAAATCACAGTCATTGTTGTTGTAAAGGAAGACTTGCAGAAGAATCTTAGACAACAGATTAAAGATCTTTTCAAGCAGTCTAATAAGCAGTACACGATGCCTGGAAGAAAACATTTTTAAATATATAAAAAGTTTTTAATAACACAATGGTTTAATGATATTTGTTCTGACTGAAATCATCAGGAAGTATGTGATGTGGTCAGGAGGTTCTCAGGGAAATTGTTGCTGTTTTTCTTTCTCAACTCAGGATTTCAGATTCCTCTTCCACTCTGAACTCAAGATTTACCTCACGTCCAGGAAATCAGTACAACTCTAAACATTCTAGATATTTTTCAAGTACCTGTACATGTAAACACTTATACAAAAATGCTTGATGGGACTCATACTTACACAGTTGGGGGGAAGATGGACTAAATAGATAAAAGCTTAATTGATTACATTAAATAATCTGACATTTTATTCTTTTTAGGTTCATAGTTTTTGTAACGTACCAGACGTACTACAACTACCCACCCCCAACGTACCTGGAGTATCCCATCCTCATTGCTCAAGGTTTGTAACAAATAGTGTAACTTAAGTATTTTATTGGCTGAAAGGGATGTTTGATATTCTCATTCTTATTGTAATTAGGTATATTTATGAATTGAATGTAATCAAGAATAACAGTGTTGACATTGATGTTAAGTTTCATACATTGTGAATAGAGTTATAAAGCATGAATATTACTTTGAAAATCTTTTAACTGGCCAAAACTTTGACACAATTGCTTGTACACACATTAGATCGGTTTTTTTGAGGCTAACATTACCCTGAAATATTATAGAATGTATTTGAATTCATATTACTAAGCCAAAAATTAAATAACATCTACCATTTCTGCTTAGAAAAATCCAGCCAGAAATAACCTGGACCTTGTTGAGTTTGACGTTACTCTTCAACTGACTCAGGAACATTTTTTAAACTATTTTTGTGGGGGTTTAGGCCTGCAGGTAAAATGTTCAACCTGTGTAGATGAGAGAAAACTTGCAGGAAATTCAAACCAGGAAACTTTTAAATATGTAACATTTAGAAGAATCTGAATAGCTTGTGAATCAGCAGTACGCCAGTGGCCCTTGAAATGAAGATGGAACCTCGCCGGAAGTGGTGTACGTTTATAACCTGCTCTGTGTCCCGTCAGATGTCATCCTTCTCCTCTTGATTCTTTACTACAACGGCAGCCTGCGGCAGAGCCTGGTGTACGCCTTGCTGTATCCTTACCCTCTCTGACAGTGACAGCTGTGAAACTGCTTGGTGTTGAAGGAAATCAATGACCCCCCCGGCAGCATCTTGTGCCTTAACAGATCGTGCTCAGGTTGGTCGGAGGCTGGAGGCTCCTCACGGTGGAGAGGTGGATCATAGATCTGGCCATGGTAATGCATCATTTTCAAATGAGCCGCACATTGTCCCACAGTAAAGAGTTGGCACGTCATCAGTCAGGAGTAATGATGTGGAGGGCTGAGAGGAGACTCACCCAGAGCTCATTTCTCTCTCTCACTGAAACACATCAAGGTCTGCTTGGTAAATGGGATGAACATGTCTGTAGGCATTTTGCATTTAAATAGATGAAGCAGCAATTCTTCCACTTCAAGTTTAAAATGTTAGCAACAGAAAGTAACTTTTGTCTTGTTTTTGTTTTTTCTTTTACTGTGTGGCATCCAGCTCACCTGCAGTGTTCAATCCGTCATGTTATAAACGTGTAATATGTGACCTGCGCTGTCCTCTCCAGAGCCTGTGCACGTTCATCAGTGCAGCCAGTAAGTTGACCCAGCTGCAGTGCATGTGGAACTCCAAGGATGCTGGACAGGTTAGCGCCCTCTCCTGGGGCATGGCTACCTACACGTGTATGGGTGAGTGTGTGAGGGAGCGTCTTTTCCAGTGGCTGTCGGGGTAAAGACGGCTGCCAAACTAAAAAATTTAACTAGGACTGCACAATACATTGCAAAATAATAATAATAGGAAAAGCATAAAACATTTTGCCAATGCCGGTACATGTCACAGGTTGTTTTCCTCATTTAGAAAGTCGGGATTCTTTTAAATAATTCCTAATGGACATGCGTTATTGATATTGTTGAACATTGAATCTCCCTCTTAATTAATGACGTCACCCATAGTCATGAGTTGTTTTTTATATATATATATATATATATATATATATATATATATATATATATATATATTTTTTTTATATATATGAAATTTTTATAAACAA